CCTTTCAGCAGGGAATAAACCTTTACCTACCTGTTCCCATGCAGGAAATAGGCAGACTGGAAATTTGGTGGAGAGAGATGGCTAATGGGAGCACAGCCTACTGTGAGGTGTAAGACTGAACTATATGAGGCTGAAAATTAGATTACAGAGCTTGCTGAGTGCTACTAGTTGTAAAATAATTGTAATCCATCATGTTGTGCTGGAACTACTGTAGGATAGATGATTGTCCATTGTCTTGGGTTTTGAACATGACAATGAGATAAACGTTCTGCATCCTGAACTCCAGAGAAAGGAAGTGGTCAGAATGCTACTGCTTATGAATTCAACCTTTAGAAATTGCTTTACCCTGCTAGAGTATGCTGGATGAAAATATTGACTTTTCAATATTTCAAAGGGCAATTCTTCCTATTGTTATGTTTTTGTTGCCTAAGACCTCTAACAAGCCGTTAGTACAGCTGAATTGCTATACTTATATACTGTGGATACTCTATTTAAACAAGTATTTGTGCTCATCAATCACTCTTTTCTAGTTACTACACCCACCTCTTTTCGTCCCCATGTCAACTTTTAATAAATCTCTGAAAACATGCTCCTGAAATAATGTACTTTCAAGTGATGGTAGTATATATATATATAAAATATTAACTCTAAATCAGAACTGAAGATTGAATCTATTATCATTAACTCTAAATTGTACAGTAGCTTGCAGTGCTGAGCTTGTTGAAGTTCCCAGGTGTTTATTTCCCAAAACACGACTATCCACTGCATTTACATTAGCTTGACTTGGCTATTGGACTAATGTGTATTCAAACCAAATTTCAGTGTACTGTATTTATGTGGCACAAAAACATCTCAAATACATACTGTAATGCTTAGAGATTTTATCTAAAGTAATGTTATGTATAAGGAATTAATACTATATGAACATTGTACAGTTAGTTGTATGAACTGTGATAAGCACTTATCTGGAATAATTGTGTTGGTAGGAAAAAAATACTACATTGGTAGGACTAATAAAAGTTAATGAAAAAAACAGCTGATACTGTCAGTAAGATACTCTCTTCATAAAGGATATTCTTATTGTTCCTCAAGGACATGAGTGAAGTAGTCCTGATGATTAAAATATACAGTACAGTATATCCTGATCACTTTTGATTTTAGGTGGGTAGCTGCGTCAGCATGCGTAGGCTGCAAAGGAACAAGTAATAGGTTTATTCCATGCTGAAAAAAAGAAGAAAGAGAACACAACGTTTCGGCCGTGGAGCCTTCTTCAGCCTTCTTCAGGTGTGAGCCTTCTTCACCTGAAGAAGGCTCCACGGCCGAAACGTTGTGTTCTCTTTCTTCTTTTTTTCAGCACTTTTGATTTTAGTTTTTTTTTTAATTAATGTATTTTGCAAATAGATAGATAGGGGGTACCTTTTCAGAAAGAAAATTAAACATATTTATTTTTTTATCACTTTTGCTACCTGCCATCCAAAAACCTTTTTTTTTTTAAATTTAACCACCTTTTTGCTCACAGTACAGATGAGGGATGAGGGATGAGGGAAAGAAAGTTATCTTCCAAAATCCCCACCCAACCAGATACAGTTTTCTCACAGTGACTGGAAAGGATTCATCTTAGGCTGTGTTCAGCTGTACTACACAGCTAAAGGAGTAACTGGGCAAAGTAAATCAAATCAGTCCCATGGTATTTTGTGGTCATTTTCAAGTAGGCAGATTACAGTAGGAAGTTTGAAAGGTGTCCCCTTGTTTTGCTAAAATAATGTAAAGTATTGTATATTGGTTGGAAGCTGAAGTTTAAAATAAGCCATGAATTAGCTCTCAAGGTACAATCTGGTTCATTATTTAATTTATTGCTAATTTGAAAGTAAAAACTCTTTCCAAGAAAACTAAAAACCAGGCACATTATATTTTCTTTCCTCTTATTAATGGAAAACAAGTATTTGAAAGCTATCTAATGCATGACCTTAATTAGATAATGAAGATGACATTTACAGCATCAGGTGTCTAATAAATGGTTCTGTTTTCACTTGTTGAATGATTATGGTCTTCTTTAATACTGAATTTATTTTGCTCTCATTATAAGGACAATCTTCTTCAAGATTTCTATTAACCCATGATTAAAGTTTACTGCTCAAAATATACCCTTTTATACCACTTGTCACACGTGGCTGATGGTCTACATAAAGGAACCTCCTGAATGTATGATCATGTGTATCCTGCTAAGCCTAGCACAATCCACTGAACTGCATGCTGATTGCTAAAGTAGCTTTTAGTTGTGTGGTTACTCATTGTAGAGTGAAGCTGTGAATTTAGTGTGCAAGACAGTAACCAAATAACGTTTCTGTGTATTCTAGCACCTACAGTATAGAACTAAGCAGTTTTGAACTATAACATAATATTTAGTCTGTATGTTTTTGTCTGTCTTTCTCTCGTAGTGCCCTTTTAGTTGCTAGCATCTCATCTTTACAAGTGCCGGTAATTTGTTTCTGTGATTCCCTTAAAACAAGCATCGAGGATTTTAAATGCTTGCTGAGGCAAAAAAAAATTAAATGTTGTTATCATCATATTTCCTAAGGCAAAGCAGAAAAATTGCAATGGATTCAGTAAAGGAAAAGACATCCTTTGCAGTGTGACAGAATTTTCAGATTAGAGTGCTACACAGCACTGATTACACTTGTAATGCTTTAGGGTGGATTATAAATGTTTTATAATCAAGCAGATAAAGCACTTTAATGTCAGAGGGACTCATACTATACAGCGAACGTTAAATCTAGCAAAGCTGCTTAAATTGTGTTGCTGTGTAGAAAGTTCTGAGTTCACTTTAATGCATGGTTAATGTTGTTTGAATAGCTCTATAACGTAGAGTGAGAAAATTACTTTTAAGGTTTGTTCTTCATGAAAGCCCATGGGCCTTTTAGTTTAAAAACTGTGCCTCACTCATAATAAGTCCAGATGAATTACAATAATGTATTCTGGGTGACAAAAGTATAAGAGTGTATCTGGAAATGCTTGAAATACACTTCCAGGCTTTGATTATAGCAACATAGCGTTCATGTCTTGAATGTCATATCCTTGTTTTGTTTTGTTAAAAAAGTATTTTAATAACACAATGTAATAATCACTAAATGTTGAGTTACATCATCACTACTGTTGCTTTAGAACCAACGAAGAGCTACAGTAGATGAAGAACAGAGCGAGCAATTGTGATTTGATTTCTAAAATGTATAAACTAAAGCATGTAGAGCCTTGTGTGGCCCACGTGTATAGTGTTTAGCATTGCTGCCTGGCAGTGCTTGGGCCCTGGGCTCAATTTCTGGGGTGCTATCTGCATGGAGTTTATACTGTACAGTATATTGTCTCCATGTTCACATGGGTTTCCTCCAGAAGCTCCAGTTTCCTCCCACAGTTAAGAGACATACTGTACAGTACTAGCAGGTTAATGGGCTTTTGTAAGATTGTCTCTGGTGTGAGTGTGCATGTCTGTGTTTGTATGCATGTGTGCCCTGCCACGGACTGGCATCCCAGCCAGGGTGTATCCTGCCTTGCGCCCACTGCTTTCCAGATTAGGCTCCAGCTTCCCCTGCGACCATGTACTGGATAAAACAAAAATGGATACATGTAGAGCCTTTTGATCATCATTAGGAGTCCTGTTAAGCAACAAAGTATTTGTTCTAGTATGCCCTTATTAGGCATGTGGAGCCACTGCTTTATTACAATATGTAATAAAAACAGAAATTAGGTGTATGCATTCTTCATAAAATTGCTAAATAAACTTTCACTGTCCATTCAAAGTTCAAAGACAGTGTACATACTCAGTTAGCAGATACACAAATAACATTCATGCAAAATGTATTTTGATCAAACATTTATATTTATTATTCAGTGATTCTAAAGAAGTAAAAAAAAAACACAAAGGCAGTTCTTAACCTGGGATGCACTCACCCCCTGGGGGTGTGAGACATGTCTGTTTTTTGGAGAATGTAAGGTAAACTATTGAAACTACACCTACTTGGTATCATTAAGATAAACTTAAAAAGTCTGTAATTGTTAATATTTTCAATGTTACCACAAAATTAAAATAAAAATATAATTAATCTCTTTCTTTCCATAGTTGTTTCTTAGGTTTAAAGAACGACCTGCTTATTTTGACTGTATGATTGTGGATAAAGGTGTGAGAACACATTCTGAGAACAAAAGGGAATGCAGGCTGCAGTGAAGCTTAAGAACCACTGCTTTAGGGATACAACCAAGTGCCTGCAAAGGTCTTCAACATATGCTGCAGCATCATACACAAATGAACTAGATCATTAATAGTAGCTGATTAATAACAGAAAATAGAAATTAAGTGTAAATTGTATGACTTCTTCATATTATGGTGTGCAGGAGAAATATTTTCATATTGCCTCAATATGTCTCTTATTGAATAACTGTAATAAAGCTCTTTGACTGTTGTTTAACAATGAAACAATGACATTTTATGGCAGTATTATCTATGCTAGACTATATTGAATTCAATGTAACTACCATCTGCACATCTTTGCTTAATAAACTAAAATTAGGCTACAAACTAGCCTTTAATCTTTTACTATTTGTCTGAGATAGCACCACTAAACAAAGACAGTAATATCCCACCTCTTCCATATACTTAAACCCAATAAAACTTTGTCCTTGTTTCAGCCGCATTTGCGATCATAAGAGCAATTATGGAAGGATTTAGAAAAAAAAATCATGGACTAGGCATCAACTTGGCAAATTAAAAGTGATCCATGCTTTTGAATATCAGTATTTACAAATGTACATTCAAGTTCAGTATTCTGAGGCCTGCAAATAGTAGTAGTAAGGGTGGAAGTGAGAGTATTGGGTGGGTGGGAAGCAGGTGAGTAATCCATGTGCAGTAGATATTGAATAAAATTTTCATTTAGATATGTTTCTATTTTGGCCACATCTGAACTTGATTCTGATGACAGCACCTGATGTTGGTATGATTTATGTTACAGGTTGGGATTCCCCATGATGCTCATGACCACGACAGTCGGTATGTTCTATCTCCTGGCCATTCACGTTGGACTTGGCTGGAACACCTAAGCCCACCTCAGTCAAGGACCAAAGAAAACAGCCTGTGTGTTTTTCTTTTCATGATATGCTTTCACAATCTCTGAAATAAAGGAGACTGATCCCCTGAGACGAATTGCAGCCCAATGTTCGATCACATTCCAGGTTTAATTGTACAATATACTGTACAAAGTAGTTGTGTGTTCTGGACAGCCAAGTCTTTTTTTGTTCGTGTGTCTTGTATTCCACTTAACAACATAAGGGAAGAAATGACAATTTGTGCTACAAGCCTACACCATACTATATTTTTAGATGCTACTCATTTAATTTTTTTAAGAACTGGGGTAGGTATCATCCCTTATGGAAGGTTGTGGCTTATATTTACCAGCAGGAACTAACAATTTGAATGTATTATTGTACTGAGTTTAAGAAAGTTTTATTTTCACCTTAAAATGAAAAGGTCAGCCACAAATGTAGAAACTATAACTATAACAAAACGTATATAAAAAAACAAGTCATCTGGAGTTGAGAACTCTTTACTTTTTGTTTCTGTATAGGAACTTTTGGAAATCCATAAATTAATTTGAAGGCACCACAAAAAAGTACTGAAATGGATTTATATTTTTTGTCTTGTTTTAATTCAGTTCTTGAAAACATAAGAATTGATTTAGGTCATTTTGCCTAATTTTGATTCTTTACTCAGTTCTTTTTCTCTGGTGTCATGCATTACAGAATTCTCACTCGTGATGTTGTCAAAGAACAACATTAATAATTTAGGAAAATATTAAACAGAATAAGTCTTTAACACAAAAAGTCTTCTACACAAAAAGACTTTAAAAACAAATGAAATATTAGAAAAAGATGTGTTATACTCAGAAGCAGTTCTTAAACCTTTTTTAAAAATTTGATGTATTAGGGCTTCTGGTTTTCAACAAGAGTGCTGCTTGGGATGACTTATTCTTCCACTTGTCACCCACCTGGCTCTGCAGCTACATGAATTTATCTGGTGTATTAGTTGATCTGTGGCTGTGTCTTTCTTCAAACTTCATTGCTCATGGGAGAATGTACTTCCTGAGGGCATAGAACCATGCTACCTCCAGAACCAGACAACATGCCTTACCATTAGCTTCATAGGGTTCTAGGGGAAGTTTTCATTTTTACACACACCAACTCCTTTTGGGATAATTGATAACCATAGCCTTTTTGGGGAGATTTATCAGTTTATTCACTGAGACAGCACCCTTTCCTCTAGGTTGCCTACATATAGCTACCCCTTATCATACCTCCATTTCTTGGGCATGCTCCCTTGTTACTGCTTCTTATGGGGTTAGAGCCTCAAAGATACACACTCACTTGCCTGGCCAGTCAGGGAGTCCTGAATCTCCAACACACCAAACCCTCTCCAGGATTTGTGCAAAACTTTATCCCCTTCCAAATGATAGAAAGATTCTGTCCTTGGCTCTTCTTTCCCTCAATACTTCTGTAACGCTGAGCCTAAATCTTGCAGGCTGATCCTGTTTGGCCTGTTGACACTTCTCAATGTCAAATGCAGTAGCAGTTGGGTTAGCTGTGACCGTCCCTCACATCATCCAGCTTTGCCCAAACTAGCAGATGCAGATACCACTTCCACAAGAGAGCACCAACCTCTTTTTTCATAGCAGCAAACTAGAAAGTGAGTTTACTGGTGGTGGCTGAAGGTAACTGTCAGGGAAACAAACTGTGCATTTACTCTCATGTATGTAATGCTCAGCTAACATTTTTCCTCCTGAAGGTTGGAGCAGTTTTTATACTGTCACTCTTTAATCCATGGAGTACTCATTGGGAAACCAAACTATGTTTTTCCCATGTGTTTTAGCTATATCCATAAATACCCCCCAACTGAGAGACTAACCTTTAGCTTCCTCTTCGGTGCGGACTCTCATCACCCAAACAAGTGGTCCTGACAGACAGACTAATCTAATCGAGGCTGGTCTAACGGGGAGGCTCCTTTTCCTGAGTTCTTAAAGAGAAACACAATTAGAATCAAACACAGCAGAACACTTTGTTGCACCTATGTACAAATGTCCATACCTATTTTTCTTAAAACCATCTTTAAGCTGCCTTACAGACATCTACACCAACAAGATTGTTCAGAGTGACAGCTTCTCCATTAAACTTGAAAAAGTAAGCTTTATAACATTGGTTAGATTTAAAGTAGAATGTTATTGGCATAACAGGTACAGTATTAAAACATTCTTTTTAGTGCTTTAACTAAATTTGGACTGACCAGTTGTGAAATAAAGTGATACTGTTCTTCCAATGTAAGTACACTGAACATGATCGCAAACAATAAAACATTTAGCAAATGGCTTGTACTGTATATTTACTTCATTTTGCTTTTCAACACACTCAGAATGGTTTTTGCTATTGTTTTTTTTTCTACAGTATTTTAAAGCTAATCAGGGGTGAATTACTGGTGGAACTCTTAAAATTAAAATACATTTTGAAAAATCAAACATTTACGATGCTAAGCTGATAAAACTGCTGTTCTTTAAGAAAAGGTTTCAAAAGGGTTTTAAGATTCTGGGTTGTTAGGAAAGCAAAGCAGACTGGAAATATAATCTAAATCCAATTGTGACTGGTGCTTCAATACATTTTTGTATGCACTGAACTGCATAAGATGGCAAGATAATTCGGGTAACCCAACAGAAATTAAACTGTCAAGAACAAAAGGAAAATTAATTAGATTTTATATGTTTGATACACCAAGCAAAAATGTATCCATAAAATCCATCCTATCTGGAGGGAAAGTACTGCAGCTGAAAACAACAGGGAAGAAGTACTGTAGTTCAGACTCCACAAGGAGGGTTTCATGGCTTCTAATAATAATTCAAGATAGAACTAACGACAGTTCACATCACTGCTTCAATACAGCGTACGGAAATTGAGAATGCAGCTTCTTTCTTCAATTGTCTACCATAAGTAATACTGTACATCTAAACGTCTGGCATTTGTACAGAACAATAGGCTTCCTGATTCCACCTAAGATCTTTGTGATGAACCAATAATTGTCAAGTTATTCTGTTAAAGTCAGAACAATGCAGAAGGTTTTTTTTCCCAGAACAGGAAGTAATAATTCCTTATGGCTGTGTAATGCTTTTCATCCAAACCTACCTACATAAATGGATGGACTATCTACAGTATGCAGCTTCATCTCATCTTTTCATATTAAGATAATTACTCCTTCAACACTGCATGTTTTCCCATATCTTAATTAAATCAGACCATCCAGTCCCATAAAATTGTTGGGAATAAGATAATACTTTTCTAGTGATCAAGGTTAAAGTAAGATGTCAATATTTAAAATAGGTTGACCGACTAGCATACTCAATATGTCTGATGAAAATTATCATGGCATAATTATTTTTGTAGTCAAACTAGATGGTCAGATATTATCATAGAAATATAATAAACAAACAGGAGTTCTACCAATTTATTCAAACTCTTTTTCAACATTTTGAAAATCAAGACTCCATCATGTCCATATATCTGTTTTAGACTGGATGTTTGTAAATTTCCACCAGGTAATTCATGATCATGTATAACCTACATAGAGTACCAGGAAACATACCTGCAATTAATCTCATGCACAGAGAGGTGTTATTTGAGCACATCTGATGGTAGAAAGTCAATTTACTATAATCTGTGTAGAAACAGCCTTCATCATAAATTAGATTAATAAACTACTGTAGGTCAAGCATGACATGTCCAAAGACCTGCTTGCATAAGCCTCATCATGTCTCATGTCACCAAAATTACATTTGAACTGTAGTCTATATGACTTTATCTGGCATTCACTTTCCGATATCTATCTATATCTATGAGCTGGCGTCCAGTTCTACGTGTATCCAGGATAGTGCCCATTGCTTGCTTGTATAGGCTCTGCAACACTGTATTGGATAAAACACTTAGAAACTGGATAGATGGATGGATGGGAGAAGTCTTTCATAAGGACATGAGGATAGTTACATTTGAGAGACCATTTGGCTACTAAACTAGGTTTGGTAGTTAGTAATTAATTGATTCAAGGATCTCATTTACTGTAGCTGTTTCTTGAATGAAGTCAAAGTACTGGCTTCAACAACGCTGCATATTCTGAACTCCCACAAACCTTTGTGTAAAAAAATGCCTTCTATTCTTGTGTCTTCTGTACTTCAGTTTACCATATCAATGATCCTTAGCTTAGTTCTAATTGTTTTCATAATCATACATGTAATGGAAGTAAGGCTTATTGATCTACATTTACAGTACATAGCTTGGTTTTGTCACCCTTTTTATGGATGGGTGCTACATTAGCAATTTTCCAGTCAATAAGTACTTACAGTAAGTGATTACTAGCTTTCTAATAGTGTACAGTATGATTAATACATATTTCTATGTCAGTACAGTTAAAGTATAATGCTTAAGTGGTCTTCAATGTTTATATTATTTATACAGAATTTATATTATTTCATAGCCTTGTCCTTCTTCAGTGTAAGCCATGATGTTAATTTATTCCAAGATAAATATATTAATTAAATATTAATTTAATACCTCAAATATTTCCTTTCAGTCATCAATACGTTTCATATATTTCTTAGACACTGCATGTCTTTGTTGTTTTTTATTTTGTGCTGTGATGATGAAAAAGTATTTCTATTATTTTGTGGCTGCCATTGCAATATTGTATCTTGTGTCTTAGACCTTTTAATATCTGTTTTTACCTGCCTTGCAGTTAATTATATTCTTTTTAACTGTATTCTGTTTGTCTTTAATAATTTCAATGCTTTCTCTCATGTTTTGTATACTGATTTACAGTAGTAAACTGCTTTCTGGTCTTTGATTTGCTTACTTATGGGATTAATCTGCTCTGTGGTTCATGCAGGTGCGAAACATCCTGGAGTGGGGAGATCATAAACATGATTATTTATAGGCAGGTCTAGGTAAAACAGACACCCCAAACAGCTGTTACTCACAAAACCCTAAACACAAGCGTAAGCCAGTTGGTTAAGCTGCTTACCTACTACAAAATAAAAGCAGATGGTCCCTCTCAGAGACTCTTCCAAAACACAAAATTTAAAATTTTACAAAGGTTACTTGCCTGATCAGTCACTTGTTTCCCTTTCTTAGTTGGGTGTGGTTTGCGTATCAGAGGATACTGTATTTCTCTGCAGATAACTAGAGGTTGAGAACAGCAGACAGCAGATGTTGACCGTCTCCAGAAGCCTCAGTTTCTTGCTTTTTACACAGTCATGTGACTCCGGGCAAGGCCTTCCACACAGCTTTCTGCAGAATATGCAGCAGTTTAGACAACAGCTGTCATTTTGTCTGGGCCTACTGCTCTACTGCCCCTACAGCAGGGTTCTGTACCTTCTGTAATGATTCTCTCATGACTATTGTCCTCACTCTATCCTGTTAGAAGACAGTTGATCAATACAGACATTCCCTCTAATAGGTGTTCTTAAGAATGTAAGGAAAATTAAAAATCTCTCACAAACAACCACTTCTTCCTTTGAGATACACGTCCGTATGCATTATATTACGTTTTTATAATTGCATTATGATTTCTATAAGAAGTTGATGTTCTGTAGCATAGTCCTAACATTTTGACCTTTCAAATTATATTTCCTAAATGACTCAATAGATTCTGAGGCCATTGATTCATTAAGGTTAGGTTCCTGTGAATGAATGCTCTTTGTGATGTATAGTGCTGCACATCCACCTCTTTATTTTTTCTCTCTCTTTGCAATGCTGTGTACCCATTCATCCCTATTGCTCTCTGCTGGCTCTGTTTCAGTGATTTCAATTACATCATAATTGCATGCTAATGATTTAACTTCTATTTCTTGCATTTTGTTTCTAATACTCTTGCCATTAAGGTATAAGCATTTAATTATCTTGTTCTTTGATGTTTTGTTTTTCCCTTGGGTTCTCATTTTGACTTTTCTCTTTTTGTGCCTGTCTTGCAGAAGTTCTTTGGATTTCAGCCCCTTCCATTCTTGTTTAAATGTTTTTTTTTTCTGTAGTTCCTGGTTTCCATTTAATTCTGATTACATCAATTGCATCAGTACTGGTACCTACAAAAACATTTCTTGAAGGTTGAAGGTTTGTGTTTAGGGATTAACAGTTGTTTGCCTTTAAGTGTTGTGGGCATTACTTTAGAGAAAACCATTGATTTAGTCCTTCTCTTCAGTTTCCAAGGTCTATGTTTGTATGGAAAACACACTGCTTATGCCAACGTTGTTTGTCACACCCAGAACAGCACCTAGGTCTTCTCTTGCATCACTTCCCTTTGTTAAGAGCCTTTCTAGCCTTTGGGTGATGTTTGCCACCCCAGCTGAAGGGGGACAGCAAATAGTGCCTGATTGATGTTGTTGAAAGTGATCCTGCTTTCCTGGGAGCTACTGCCTTGAGCTTCCAAGCACTGGCTACTTCCAGGTCCTGGAGTGAAGTAAATGTATATGGCAACCTGGGATATTAAGCTGTTAAAATAAAAGCTGTTTTATTTTATTTCCCTCCTTAACCTAATATCTTCTCTTCTCTGTCAAAAAAATCTAATCTGTTGCTCTGATGATATGGGTTGTATACCAACATGCATATTGGATTCCCTCTTCATCCCATCCATCTCATGATCCAGTCTGAGTTTCTATAACATCATCTCCAGCACAGTCAGATTTTGGGGAACGGATTCTGGGGATCCCCCAGTTACCAGCTCGAAAGACGAGATCTCATTGCCGTAAAGCCTAGACAACCTGGCAAGGCAGCAACTTGTTTCATTCTCTTAGCCACAGTGTAAACTTACCACAGACTGCACCACCATACCACTATACCAGAACTGAGACACTCAGCAGCACAACAACACACCGCAGTGTGGACCCATGAGAGCAGTTTAATTATACTGGCCTCCTGTCAGCAGCTGCAGAAAAAACCCACAGGTTTTTATCTTACTATATTCTACACTAATTTTAACACTTGTAGGGATCGAGGGCCAAGCTGTGGAAGTCTATTGAACACACTAGTCCTAAAACTTGCTTGTTATTTTTTCACCAAAAGACCCAGACTGTGACATCCTAATGATTCTATTCACTGTTGTATACACAGACTTCCAAAACATAGTGATCCCCTGGAAATACACACCTGTTAAGATGGATAACAGCACAGCCGCGGACTAAAATATGCAGCCTTGCGGTTCTGCAGGTGTGCTTCAACAGATATAAATAGTAACAATTGTACACATATCGGGGAATCTTTGTTTCCTTGCTTTATTACTCTATAGCTAAGGATCTGCGCCTGTGGCTGTTGCCGGTTTGTATCCCGCGACCGGCAG